GTAATAGTCACACACTCTAACATTTTCATTTATTCAGCTGACAATTGCTGCATCCCCTCTTACTGGCCACCCGCTGCGATCCTGTCGCGCTGATGCCGCGTGTCGGTGTGTGAGCTCTCTGATCTGTATTCAATACAAGGAATGTGTGCTCTGAATGTAAGGAGAGAAATTTGTCTATAGATGGAATCGCATCTCATCTGTAGTCTTGAATACAATATGGAATGGGAAAGCGGAGACTGGCCTTCGCTGAGCCACACTCAGTAATAGCCGTGAATGATAATTACTTATGCACTCCTTGGAAACCTGAGAAGAATATTTTTTATTTATTAGGCAAAAAAAAAAACAATTGAGTACTGTCCGTGATACTTTTTTTATTTGCACTAACATACAATTTTGAGGACGAGCTTTTGGAGTATGTCCCCTTCTTCAGGTCAAAGCAGTACTGATCACAAAAGTATAGCAGAATGTTAGAAGAGATGTAGGGGATAGAAAATAAAAAGAGAACAGAGATGAGACACATCTCTTCTAACATTCTGCCATAACTTTGTGATCAGTACTGCTTGGACCTGAAGAAGGGGACATACCCCGAAAGCTTGTCCTCAAAATTGTATGTTAGTGCAAATAAAAAAAAAGTATCACGTCAGTACTCAAATGTTTCTGTCGCAAATGCACTAATACGGCTACAATCACCTCAAGCAAAATAAAAAAAATGTTGCTGTTCATCGCAACCAACCAGTTCTTACCTTGAGGGAAAAAAAATTCCTCAAAAATCTCTACCGTGCAGACTGTGTCCCCGCTAGGGACAATCACTGTGTCATGGTGATCACTGTCAGAGGAGGGAAAATCCCAAATCCTAAATTGTTACTAGATCAGGGGCAAAGTGTAATTTAGTGGGCTCCCTTGTTTCTGTAACAGCTGTCTAAGTAGGGAGTTCTCACTTTGGATATGCTATACCTACAGATAAAAATGTATAAAGCATAAGTTTACAGTATTTTGTGGCGTATAAGACTACTTTTTATACTTAAAAATATACCCCAGAAATTGGGGTCGTCTTATACGTGGGGTATAAAATGTGAACCTTGAGTTTGTTTGAGTCAAGCTGGCTGGATGTGTGGTAATACTGTACATACAGTATACCGTGTTGAGCCAAGCTGGCTCAAAACAAATGTCCCTATGACAGATTAATCTGTCAGCCCGCTGGATGTGCGGTATATACAGTGTACTGCGCTGAGCCAAGCGGTTTCAAAACGTACCGGTACGTCCCTACTGTAATCAGCCCGCTGGATGCGTGATGGTCGGGAGCTGCGGCTACATACAGTATACACTGGGCCAATCACGGCGAGTGATGTATTCTACTAATGAATACAAAGCCTGCTCGGATTGGCTGAGTCAGAGAGGTGGGCTGACGATATCACAACCTCAGCCAATCTGAGCAGGCTTTGTATTCATTAGTAGAATACATCGTTTGCCGTGATTGGCCCAGTGTATACTGTATGTAGCCGCAGCTACCGTACATACACGCATCCAGCGGGCTGATTACAGTAGGGACGTACCGGTATGTTTTGAAACAGCTTGGCTCAGTATACTGTATATACCGCACTTCCTGTCATAGGGACATTTGTTTTGAGCCAGCTTGGCTCAGCACGGTATACTGTATATACATTACCGCACATCCAGCGGGCTGTATATATACTGTATACTGTATGTAGCTGAAGCTACCGTATTACCGCACATCCAGCGGGCTGTATATATAATGTATGTAGCCGAAGCTACCGTATTACCGCACATCCAGCGGTAACCATCTGATTTGGAATTTGATCCATATGATGACTGTCTTACAAATGTATCACAAGATGTCATTCATGAACTTATGATGTCAGAGGATGAACATGAGGATTTTGAAGGATTTTAAGTACCGGTAAGTCATAACCATTTCAGTTAAAAAAATCTGATGTTTTTAAATGTTGCCTCGGAAGGGGGGTAGTCTTATACAGCGAGTATAGCCCAAAACCTATGTCTTAACTGGAAAATTAGGGGGTCGTCTTATACACCCAGTCGCCTTATACGCTGGAAAATACGGTAGTTAAAATCAAAAACCTAAAAATCAGAAAATGTTGAAAAAAAAATGCACTTTTCTTTGTTTCTGTTATAACATTTTGCAAATAACATTTTTTATAAATATAAATTTAGGTCAAAATGTGTTCTGCTACATTTCTTTGTAGAAAATCATAATTACATTTTTTTTTTCCAAATATTTATTTTTTTATTTTGTATAAATTTTTTTTTTTTTTACTATTTTATTTTTCAGCACACTGTGACCAAAGCAATACAATGTTACCATAGTAACACTGAACTACGTTGGGCAAGTGATCAGGAACTTTTTTTTAGCACATTATAATTGCTAATACAATGTATTTCATTGATATTTGCAATCATTGTTACTGAATGAAACGGATTCATTCAGTCTTTTGTTATGATTAGCTGTGATTGGGCAAAGCTGGTCACATGATACAGATGGGCTGTGATTGGCCCTGTCTGTATCATGTGACTGCCTTGACCAATCACAGCCAACAACATAATTGTATACAATGGATGGCATGACAGTAAGCCATCCATTGTATACAATTGACATGTGATCTGCTGTGATTGGTCTCAGTGGTCACATGACACTGGCAACGGGCCGGTGTAGTGATATGTCATCGGCTGTGTCCTGTGGACACAGCTGGTGACAGATTGTGCCGCTGTGTGGCTCGTTTTGACAGCACGTCATATGACGCCCAGTCCCAACGGCCAGTGTCCCGCCCGGCTGTCAGTCTGCTGGAGGCCAGGCGGGAAGGTGTTAAACTTCTGTACCAGTGCAAGAATGAAACGTGTGTCAACCTTCCAGCAGCATTCATTAGAGTTTAGTTCATTAGGAGCTCTGGCTACATTACGTACATTATGTTAATGAACAGAGCAGGGAGATAATGTTGGGAACATTTCATACCAGTGACCCCTGTATATTGCATAGGTCGGGTTTTTTCTAGAGAAATAATCTCCATTAGAAATTCAAGGAGAGAGAAATTTTATCTAGTTGCAATTCAGGTTTCTCTCTTGAGGTGCTGATGGTAAGGACTGGTCCTGGGAAGGCATTTAAAATGAATTTGTTGCCACCGGAAAATGAAAATGCTCCCTTTTAACCACCTCAGCTCTCGTGAATGCATATCTCTTATGGATCAGAGCAGTTTACTTTTCCACTATGGGCCTGATTGTTCGGTGATATCATCTTTATTTTAATTTATTATTTTTTGGGATAAACTAGGCTTACATTTGTCAAATGTCTTACATAGCAAATTTTTTTGTGCTTCTGATTTTCAAATTTGCACAATTTCTTTTTATGTGATACTGAATAAAAAAAAAAACAAATGAAAAATTTTAATATTATTGGTAAACAAATAGAAGAAAAATATAGCTAGGGTGAGGAAGGAGTTAAAGTGAAATTCAGGCAGGTCCGGTCAAGCATTGTCAGCCAGCGCGGCTGCAGGGTAGAGGAGAGAGCCCTCCAACAATGGCTAGTAAAGCCTGGGAGCCATAACATTACCTATAGGTCCATCTGTTGTCATTCTCTCCATTGAAGCCACACTGGCTGACACAGGGGAGCCGTATCAATTGACTGGAGTGGTCTGAAAATTAATTAAATATATACACCTTTCTTAAAAAGATTAGTTAATATAGGTGTTAGGAGGGTGGAGGGGACGGATTTAAGGCTAGGTAGATGTAAACTATGGTTAGCACTTTCGCCTTGCAATACTAGGGTCGTTGGTTCGAATCCCAGCCACGGCACCACCTGCCTGGAGTTTGCATGTTCTCCCGGTGCCTGCATGGGTTTCCTCCAGGTACTCCGGTTTCCTCCCACCCTCCAAAGACATCCTGGTAGGTGAATTGGTTCCTGTCTAAATTGGCCCTAGTATGTGAATGTGAGTTAGGGACCTTAGATTGTACTGCAAAAGCAACCAAAGAGGTTTTTAAGGGGAAGATGTGGAATGTTATGCAATGGCCAAGTCAGTCACCTGACCTGAATCCGATTGAGCATGCATTTCACTTGCTGAAGACAAAAGCGAAGGGAAAATGCCCCAAGAACAAGCAGGATCTGAAGACAGTTGCAGTAGAGGCCTGGCAGAGCATCACCAGGGATGAAACCCAGCGTCTGGTGATGTCTATGCGTTCCACACTTCAGGCTGTAATTGACTGCAAAGGATTTGCAACCAAATATTAAAAAGTGAAAGTTTGATTTATGATTATTATTCTGTCCCATTACTTCTGGTCCCTTAACAAGTTGGAGGCACATATGCAAACTGTTGTAATTCCTTTACCGTTCACCTGATTTGGATGTAAATACCCTTAAATTAAAGCTGACAGTCTGCAGTTAAAGCACATCTTGTTCATTTCATTTCAAATCCATTGTGGTGGTGTATAGAGCCAAAAATGTTAGAATTGTGTCGATGTCCCAATATTTATGGACCTGACTGTATATAAAAAAATCCAGTATTTATACCATAGTTTGTGGACACTATAATGTTCACACAAACCAATCAATATACAATTATTGTTTTGTTTTTTTTTTTTAATCAAAGACGTAGCGAAATATGTTTTGTCCAAAATTTATGAAGAAATTTGATATTTTTTTAAAATTTTTATTGGATTGGTTTTATAGCAGAAAGTAAAAAAAAAAAATTTTTTCTTCAAACTGTGTGGTCTTTTTTCATTTAGCGGTGATCAAATGCCACCAAAAGAAAGCTCTGTGTGGAAAAAAGATATACATTTCGTTTGGGTACAGCATTTTATTATGACTGCACAATTACCAATTGAAGTAGTGCAGTGCAGTATAGCAAAAGGTGTCCTGGTCATAAAGGGGGTAAAATCTTCTGGAGCTCAAGTGGTTAAGGTGGTGACAACTGTTTTTAAAATAACTGTCATGAAAATCAAAGGGACAATAAAAGAGATCTTCTTACAAAGAAGAT